CTCGATAAAATATTTATTTTTCTACTTTTTGTAAGGATATTTCAAATAAATGATAAGAAGGACATGCTTCCTGTGCTGTGAATCTGCATCTGTGTGAGGACTAGTTTTCTCTTGCTGCTGGAACAAGGCACCCCAACCCCGCCTCTGAAAACAGCCCAAGTTTATTATCTCACAGCTCCCGGGTACGAGCTCCAGGTGGGCTCTGCCTGTGTCTCTGACCTGGGCCCCTCAGGGCTGAAATTCACGTGTGGCCAGTGGGGTTCTTGCAGCGAGGCCTGCAGACAGTGGGCCTGCAGCTGAGGCAAACTGTTGGCAGGACTCTGTCCCTGGCTGTTGTCACCCTGAGGTCCCCGTTTCCTGCTGGACGCAGGGCTCCTTCTCAGCTCTGCCAGCCTCTCTCTGGTCCTTGCTGATGGACCCACATCTCAAGGCTGGCAGCAGTGTGTCAGCGCCTTCTCGTGCTGGGAATCCCTCTGCCTTCCCCTCCTGCCCCCTCTCCCTTCTGCCTCCAGGTGGAGAAAGCCTGCTGCTTGTCAGGACTCATGTGTTTAGAGGAGGCCCGCTGGGTAAACCAGGACAATCTCTCTATTTTGGCATCTCTAAGGGTTAGTTACATCTGCAAAGTCCTCTTGCCACATCACATGGGATAGTCACAGGTTCCTGGGCTTGGGTTGGGTTCTGTCCTTCCTCCATATGCACGTGAGTGTGTTTGCGTGTGCTCACTTGGAGGGTATTGAATGGATCACTTAGATGCATTCTGTTATGAGGAAAATAACATGAAATAAACATGCCTTAATAGTGACGTTTATCATTGTGCATCACGGGAAGTCTAGACAGCAACGTGCATTTAAAACTGTGTTGTTTACTACAGTCCACATGCCACAAATAATAATTTTTGTGCCACACAAAATCATTATTTTTCTCTTCATAATAAGGATCCAGAGAGTCTTTGAGACTATGCAAATACCTGCTATTCCTCAAACTTTGAGCCAATCATTTTAGCAAGCATTGATGGTGTTTGTCAGTTCCCAAATGATTTCATCATTCTTTTTACATTGATTCGTTGACATTCTAGCCTTTTTCATCTGTATGTTCTTTGTATTAGTTAGCAATTGCTTCACGACAAAGTGTTACAATCCCTCATGTGTAAACAAACCACATCATGCCACAGTTTCTGTGGGGTGGCAGTCTGAGCCTGGTTTACCTGCACCCTCTGACTGAGTCTCACAGGCTGCAATGCAGGCATTTGCGAGGCTGAAAAGGTCTTAGGCTCTTTGCAGGCGAATGTGCTTCTAAACCCCCTCAAGTGGTTGTTGGGCTACAAACAGTTTGTTGTGGGCTACAAATCCCCAATGGCAACAGCTGCAGGGGTGGAGAGAACCCAACCTGCTTCCAGCCCTGTGGCCACTGGGACTGGAGACATCAGCAGGTCCTTCCCAGAGGCCATGGTTGTTCTTGTTCATAGTCATGGCCAAAATGTTCCCAGGAAATGCTGTCCTATTCTTGCCTCAGGGCTTTACACAGTTGGTCACTAGCTGTGGCCCTCTGGTGCCATCTGTCTGCTTCTAGTCCCGAGCAGAGCCCAGCACTTTGCTCACATGAGGATGGTACAAAGGAAGAGACACTGGCCCTCAGGCTGGCAGTGGCCAGAGAAGGGCAGCAGGCATGCATTCAAAATGCTGGGCCAGTCTTTCATGAACCGTCTTCTCTGCTGGTCATTTAACAAGTAGATGTATCATGTACAGTTTGGTTCTGTTTCCTTAAAGTATTTCTGTTAATCTCACTTGAAGCTTCTGGCAGAGAGGAGAGGCACTGGAGGAGGGGGACTGACTGGACTGGCTGGTGACAGACAAGACCAAGTCGGTATAGTGTGACCACAGGCAACCCCACAATCACAGTGACCACTGTCTACAGCCTGGAGCTGCCGGGGGCCTGGCTACTCTGACTGCCACCACCAGAGCAATGGGCTGAGCACACACCCAGGAAGAGTCATCCATGGCATTGCATGCTTAGGAAGAGCTCAGCCCCCCTCCCTCCTCTGTGTATTTACCAACTGTTCATAACAGCATGGAGTGCTGAATTCTCATTTTGTTCAGTACATTAACACTCTTTGCTATAATTCTGTTAATGCTCAAATTGCCCTAGACTAGGCCCATGGGAGCTCTTTCAAGATGGCTCCTGTGCCTTTTCAATGTGTCTCCCTCATCCTCTGAGCACCTCCCTTGCTTTCTGGAACAAGACGTTCCAGGCTCATCTTGTACTTTACCTGCCTCATCTCTGTAACCAGCCATTTCTCCAAGTAGTTCTGGTTCCTTTAAGTGGAGAGCAGTTTTAAGAGACCAAGATCTGGGTGCCAGGTAGGCTGACTGCTGCAGGGATATTGTTGCTTCTACTCCCTCTCAATGGACATAAGTAGGAAATAGATGTGTGTATGTACGGAATTGTACTTATACTGTAAAAAAGTAAAATCTCATTAACAACTTTACATTGATTATCTGTTGAAATAATATTTTGGATATGCTGCATTAAATATAGTGTATGTAAAATAATTTTGCATATTTCTGTGTACCTGGTAAAATATGGCCACACAGAAATTTAAAATTACATATGTGGCTCCCACAATATTCAGATTGAGCCGTGCTGGCTTAGAGGGCATCATGTCAAGTAGACCCAGTGTCTTCACACCTGGCTGATCCTCCCTCCTCAGTGTGGCAGCACCGTCTCCCCTCATGGTCACTGTGTGGAGGCCACAGCTCTCGTCACACAGCAGGAGTGGCAGAGACTCGCTAGCTGTCTCTGTGCTCACTGTCCCCTCTTCCATTACTTGGAGAACCCCTGAGTTCAAGTGGACTGAGGAGTGCTCCACTGAAAACAACACGTTTTAGTTGAGATGCTGTATGGCAGTTAGTTCTGGCAACGCCTGGGAGTGAAAGCGATCTCAGCCCCTTGTGAGTTGTTCCTCTGAAGAACAGGCAATACCCTCCCTCCCACTTTTGTTTCTTCTTGCTGAGTGACACAGATGACAGCAGTTAGCTTACTTTGCCTCCAGCTTTCTAGCACATTTTCAATGGATATAGAAGCTTGTGTTGAGAGCTTTCTTTTTTGTCTCAATACATTGAATATTCAGGGGTAATTTATATACTGACTTGGGTCCTCTGCCTCTGGGACTCCCTCCATGTTGGGCTTTCTCCCCTCAATCTCCAGCTGCTCTGACTGGGCCAAACTCTGGTGTCTGAGATCTTCAGTCAAAGACTGGCTCTCTGCCTGAGCTCAAGCCACATGAGTCCCTTGTCACATGGATGGAGGCTGTCCCCAGAGGGAAAGCCATATCAACTTAGTCACAGATTGTGTACCTGTTCTTTACGAGGTTGGATCCCCTCAAGTTTCTGCCTGCTTCTGGTTGCTCTCCAGTGCCTTCAGATGGTGGGGTTTTCCAAAATCATTTGCTCAAGTTGATTATTGTTACCCGTGGGGAAGTTAGCCGGCTCCCTCTTACCTGTCCCTGTCTTACATTCTGTCTGTCCTGTTCAACTTCAGGTGAGCGAGCCTCACTGGGAGTCTCTGTCAGGTTTGCAGCAAGATGTCTGCTGGACCTTGATTGGTTGAAGGCTTGATCTGTGTGTGTCAGTGATGGCTCACTCGCATGGCTGGCTGTCCCCTGGGAGCCCAGCTGTGGGTGGTGACCCCAGCACCTGCAGGTGGCTTCTCCATGTGTCAGGTTTTTCATAGCTTTGCAGTCCTTGAGTGGCTGAACTTTTTTACATGGGGCCTGGCTGCCCTCAGAGCAGTGTTTAAGGACAGGAAGTAAAATCTGAAGGCTTGTTAAGGGCTACGCCCAGAAATAACATGTATTCTATCAGTGCAAGCAGTCTTGTCCCTGCCCAGATTTGAGGGAATGGAGAAAATAAAACTTACTCTCCGTGTTGGTGTGGCAGCGTCACATTGCAGCAGAGCATGTGAGATGGTGGTATGACTGTGATCGTCACTGGGAAATGCCATTTGGCCACAAAAGACACAACTATTTCCCTCCGCATAATACTCAATACTCTAAGAGTACATGATGCTGTGTGAGTGAGTATGTTTGCTGGTGTCCAGGGTTGCAGGTGCACAGAGGAATCCCAAATCCTAACACCTGCGAAGGCTTTGCCTAACCTCAGGGATGGGGGACAGCGGTTCACTGGGTGTCACTATCCGTGGTGCTGAATCTTCTGCTAAAACATGATTCCTCTCTGTCCAATGACCTGGGGAAGAATGGTCCAACTGCACCAGCATGGTTGTGCAAGCACACGCACTTGTGCATACACACATGGAAGCCACGCTTCCTGAGGCAGTTACTCTATGGGAACCTGCTGCATTCGCCCTGCCCTGAAGGTGCTGAAGTGCAGGGGCTGGCCTGGGCTAGACCTGGAGCAGCTGGGCTTCCACCAGCTCCATCTTCTTTCTAAGCAACTCTAGGGGTCTAGACCCATAATGTCTGTCTTGTTTTCTTTCCATCTGTTTCCTTGTCTCTCTGTCTCTTTTTCTGTCTCTCTGTCTCTTTCTGTCATCTGTGCCTCTTCTCTGTCGCACCTTGCCTCTGTCTCTATTTCTTCCTGAGTCTCTGTCAGCCTGAATCACGCCTTCCCTCCTGCTCCCTCTCTCCTTCCCTCCCTCTGCCTATACTGTAAGCTTATTTTTCTTGGTGCCTCTCTGTCCTTCTGTCTGTCTCACAAGAGTGCACATCGGGGAAGGGCTGTCTCCCACACAGTGTGGGAAGCATAGCAGCATTTAACTCTTGCCCAGCGGCACCGCTGCATGCACACGTGTGTCCTGCAGCTGTGTCTTTGTGCACGCTTCAATCCATGTCGGGGTCCCTGGGTGTGTCCCCCTCCATAGCACTGCCACAGGTATGGGCTGCTCCCAGCATGACCACCCTGCTGTCTCCCATCCCACCCCTGTCTGTGTGGACTTGGGTCCCAAACACAAGCAGAGGGCCGACAGGGACAGCTTCATCAGGGCTGTATTGCGGGGAAGGCAGGGTCAGGGAGCAGGCGGGAAGCTCTCTCCATGTGGGGCTGGGACCATCAGCAGGCCCCAGGACCAAGTCCAGGTGAGGGGCTCAGCACCCTGTGGGGGCTGGAGATGAGGATCTGCTCAGGCATCAGGAACACCTGCAACAGAATGAAAAAAAAAACCACAAAAACTATCACCAGGAAGTGCCAGGGACTCCAGGATGCAGGGCGTGGCAGGTTCTAAAAGCCTGAGATGAGGTGGGCAGCTGGGGCTGGGCTCCAACCTCAAGAGCTGAGTGTCCTGGCCTGGGAACTCCTGGGGTAGTGAGGCAGATGGGGTGGTTGTGAGGGTGCTATGGCTAGATTAGTGTCCCAGAGTCTGTGAGTCTGGGTACATGAGTGCAGCGTGGGCTGGGGTAGGGGACTCTCCAAATTAGGTCTTTGGCCCCAGAACCTTACCAGAGGCTCTGGCACTGGGTTCTGGGGTTGAAGGTGTCCCGGAAGGTCCAGGTGGGTGGGGAGCATAAGGGCTCGGCACCGTGTTCCTGGTATTGGGTCTGGGGTCTTGAGGTCTGGGTCGGATTGAGAGTCTGGGAGACCCTGGGAAGCTCTGGGACCTGATGATTTGGGGAGGGGGGCGCTGGCTTTGGTTCTGGGGGCTGCAGGGTGAGGGTGTTGATGGCTCCCCATTCCCAAGCTAGGTTTGGTAACTGCAGGCTGAGTGGCCTCCCCTGGAGGGTGCAGGTGTGGTGGGTAGGCAGCTGGGGGGTTCAGGGAGGTTGGAGGGGGTTGCTCCCTGAATGGAGGGGGTGTTGGGTGAGCTCTGAGTCTGGGAACACCAGCAGAACAGGGTCTGAGAGATCCAAGAGGCATGTGCTTCACGGAGCGTGTGCCAGTGAGAAGGGAGACCTCCAGGACTGGGTCTAGAGACGCCCAATTTGGGTCAGGGGCTCGGGGGTCTGGAAAAGCCCGTTGGCCAGGTGGTGGGGGTGAGCCTGGGCCTGGGTGCCGGGTTCAGAGCTCTGGACGCCGAGGTGCGCACCAGGTCAGGGCAGGGCAGGGCCGCACCTGCAGTAGACGGCGGAGATGGCGTTGGACCAGTGGCCGAAGATGCCCCGGCGGTACTCCTCCAGGCGCGGGTAGGCGCCGGCGGAGAACTTGCGAGTCTTGCCGTTCTTGCCGCTGCGGGACCACACGGTGAGCTCGCAGCGTGGGGCCACCACGAGCGAGGAGATGACGTTCCTCCAGTCAGAAGGCAGGAAGGGGAGGTCGGTGTCTGGCTTTATGGCCAGCTCGGCGCCTGCGCAGCAGTTCTCGTAGTAAGGGTCGCTCTTGTCATGGAGCTTGGCGCACGTCTTGGTCCCGTCGGCGTTCTTGAGGTCCGCAGGCGCGGGGCAGGCGCCTCGCACACGGGGGACGGCCACCAGGGCGAGGACCAGCAGCAGTGGGCACAGCGAGGACATGGTGACACAGCGTGGCGCGTCCCCTGCGTCCCCTGTGGGCTTTTATTCTCCTAACGCCGTGGGAAGGGAGAAGCTGTGAGATTAGGATTCCGGGAGAGGAGGGGAGGGGAGGGGAGGGAGGAGGGGAGAGAGAAGGGGAGGGAGGGTATTCCTCCCCCAGGAGCCCAGAGACCTCCCTAACCAAGGTCTCAAACCCACAACCCAGAAATACAAGATGGACGTATCTGTATGAAAGTAGCAGCTTAAGATTTTATGTGGCAAACAGCAGTATAAAGGAAGTCAATAAACTGGACTTGTGGACCAGTGACTGGCAACAGACAGGGTAGCAGGGTTAACAGGCACAGGTGGGAAGAATTCTCAAAAATTATCAAGGGAGGGAGCGCTCCTCTCCCCCAGCCCCCTTTCAGTACAAGGAGAGGTTGAAGGAGGGAAGAGGAGGGGCACCGGCCTTCCGGGCTGGCAGGTCACAAGACCTCGGGAAAGGAGAAGCTGGAGATAAGGAGAGAGAGGCCCTGGAGGGGGGAGGGGACAGGAGGCGGAGGAGAGCCAGGAGGCCCTCCCTCCTCCCAGAGTGGGAGAGCTTCCCAACAAAGACCCAAACCAGCATCTGTGAGGTGTGAGATGGCCTGTTGGTGAACCACTCAAAGCCATTGCAGGGCCAAGTGCAAAGGCTGGGAGAAAAGAGCTGTAAAAACAGAGTGCTGACAAACTGACAGGAAGGTGCCAAAGGCCCCCAACCCCCAGTAGGAGGAGCCTGGGAGGCGGGGAGGGAGGGGGAGGAGGCTGCCACCCCTACTGCCACTTCCTAGGAGCTAGGTGTTCCATGAGGTTGGAAATCCTGATCTGTAAAATAAATTGGATCAATTGAAGTGTATAAAACTTTAAAACATTTGTATAGCAAAAGACACCCTAATAAAAACCCAAATGAAAACCTAATCTAGGGGAGATCAGGAAATCCTTGTAACATACAGTGAGTGCTTACCAATCAGGAGGCAGAATGGACATAAACATTAAGAAGCAGGAGGGCAAGGGGCAGGGCCTGAAATCTCGGTGGGACAGGGCCCTGGGCTTGTGGGACGGGGTGGGACAGGGGCCTGGCCAAGGCCCTGCAGAGACTTTTTGGCGTCCCTGGTCTCCTGCCAGACACGAACAGGGTCGAGAAGGATGAGCTGTTCAGAGAGACAGTAGTTCACTTCTGTGGTTCTGTGGTGAGTCAAGTCTGGGGCCTCAATTTCCTCATCTGTAAAGTGGGTGCCATTTCTTCCTGTGCTATAGGATTGTTGTGAAGATTGTAAGAGATAACAGAGCATTCGAGGGTGCAAGGGTCAGCCTGGCACCAGATCCCAGCTCCTCCCTGAGCTTCCACACATGCCTCCACCTCTGGGCCTCATGGAGACAGTGGTGGTGCCCGCCTCAGAGTGCTGGGGTCAGGAGTCGGAGGGGCGGTCCGCGTGAGAACACTTACAGCAGCGCCCTTGCTAAATGTCATAGGGCCACGCGCCATGGTCATTATCATGAAAGCCCTTAGCATTGAGGGAATGCAGTGACTAAGAGCAAAAGGCTGGTAACATGAACATGGGTTCAATTTGGACTCTGTCACCTTGCCATGACCTTGCTTGCTGTGACCTTGGGCAAGTAAACTCACCTCTCTGAGCTTTAGTTTCCTTCTACTTTCTAAAGGGATAATAGAACACAATATTAGAAGTGGAATATTGATAATATAAAATCATTTTATATTAGAAAGCACTTCATAACTAATATAATGAAATATTCATAAACGTCAATACCTCACATACTTGTTATTTACAAATGTAACATGAATACTTAGTGTGTAACATTGAGTAAGACAACAACATACCTATAAACATATAAAGCGTGAAGCGTAGTGCCCAGCACATGGTAGGTGCTCAATGAATAGGAGCTACGGTGACTCTCCCTGTAATGAGTCTGAGCCCCGGGGCCTCAGCCTGGCACTGCCCCAGGCCAGACCTGGATCCTGCTCCCTCCTGTCCTTCCCTGACCACATGAAATCTAATCTCCAGCCGCTGACTTCCCAGGGGGCCTCTTTGACCTCAAGGGCATGGACCCTCCCCCACCCACAGCTGTGCAAGGGCTGAGCCTCAGGGATGGAGACGTGGTAAGTGCAGCTGTCTGGACGCAGTCACCTAGAGGTCTGCCTGCCCAGTGGGGCCACGAGCAGACCCCACAGGTGGTGACGTGGGACAGCAAGGAGACCCGGATAGGGAGGCAGACCCTGGGACAGGAACACAGGGCCCACTGGGCCGCAGCACACAGCCAGCATCAAAGAGAACCCACAGAGATCCCAGTGTCCCTAGTGCAGGGATACACACATGGGCAGGGGCGAGGGACAATCCTTCACACAGTCTGCCACTGATGGTCACCGCATCTCATTGGTGTGTATATGCACTGAGTGGAAACACACGCTTGCTACTCAGTCCCAGCGAAACGGCCCAGACAAGGTCCCTCCGACAGAAACACACTCCCACCACCACCACCAAGCCCTCAGCCCCAAACTCCTCACACTCTACACCCACGAATCTCAACTCGAGAGCACAGTGCTACGCCCACAGGAGGACATACACGGCGTCTGCATCCGGAAACCATTTCCTCACTGTTGGCACACACTGGGCAAATAGTAGAAAATAAACAACTTCTTTTCACACATTTTTTCTTCAAGTGGAAGAATACCTGCCCATGAGTAGCCCATGAGCCCTGGAAAGAGTCAGACGGTAGATCAATAATTGGAACACAATATAAGAGTTATAACAGAGGTATTGCAAAGGGCTCTGGAGATGCAGTGGGAAGAATAGCAGGGTTTTTAAAAATCCACTGGTATATCCACCAAAGAAATGGAGATTGGTATTCATGTGAAACTGCCACTTGGAGAAAAAAGAAAGTATTATTCTCAATCCAGGTTATACCCGAAAATAAACATTATTACAGGTGGTGCCTGATTTCAATGAAAATGCTGTCTGTTGCCGAAATACAGGAGAATATTCAGTTCAGTACTTAAGTTCACACTGGTTTGTCACACCTCATTAATTACATTTTTTGTAATGGTGTCACTGAATGAGGACTATTCAGTCCCCATTTGTTAAGGGTTCTCACCACTCACCAATGCAGGCAAAATAACTGCGTGGTTCAGAATAGTGGTCCTCAAAGTGGGGCCCCTGAACCAGCAGCATCAGCAGCTCCTGGGAGCTCCTCAGAAATGCAGATTCCCCGCCCCACCCCCGTTTTACTGGATCAGAAATTCTAGGGGCGAAAGCACAACACTCTGAGTTTTCACGTGCTCTCCTAGCGATTCTGATGCACAATGGAGTTTGAGAACCACTGGCTTAGGGATTTTGTCTTTGATACCTCAATTTGCTCATTTCCCATATAATTTTCCTGATTAAAAAAAAATCCATAAACAAAAGAAAGAGAAATATCTCTAAGAGTACCAGGTGGGGGAGCCTCATACAACTGCCTGGAACTCAAATTCCCAGAATGAACTTGAACTTCTCTAACATAGACAGGTCACTCGTCATCTAACTTCAGGACAGGGCTGAAGACCCTTTTCTCAGATACACCTGCTCCAGGTGAGGAGCCTTGTTTCCAAGTCTCCCTGGGTCCCACGGTGCCCCTTTGTGGTCTAGGCCAGAGCTACTCAACCTTCCTTGCCCGCAGATCTCTTGGGGCTAAGGGTGGGCACCTGTTAAGATACAGGCTCTGATCCAGCCGGTCTCGGGTAGTATTCAGGTTCTGCATTTCCTGCAAGCCCTCAGGTGATGCCAGGCCTATGGGGGCCATTGAGTTAAGCTGCTCTCTACAAACTGGCATTTCATCCCAGATACAGCTCCAAACCCGAACCTGCAACCAGGAGGGCGTGGCAGGAATTCAGAGGTGAGCAATGCTAAAGGTCGATGCAGTGGGAGTGGTTGAGACTGAAAGAAAAATGCAGATGAAATTTCAGAAGGAAGTCCGTAAAGGAAGCCGAGTGTGAAAGTCTTTAAGGGCCGGAACCAGTTTGGCTCAAGCGCCCTTGCGGGTGGGCGGTGGGAACCTTGTGCTAAGCCAATGGAAAGGGAACGGGCGGAGGTAGGCCCTGCCTTCAGGGTTAGCAAGACCGGTTAGGGGAGGCTGGAAGTGTTCACGAGGTGGCGCCATAGCACAGCAATTCAGAAGGCAGGCTCGGGCGTGCCTGACTGTGGGTTCAAGTCCCGGTTCTGCTGCTTCTGTTACTCAACATGTATGAACTTTAGCTCCCTCCTGTGTGGAGATAATAAACGTAAAAGCTAGTTATATCCCCTATTTCTGAGATTTGTAAGGAACGCTGGTTTCCTTTTTGATTGCTTATATTGGTCATTTGTATGAGATATAGATAGATAGATATAGATACCAATCAGTTTTAAGATATAATTTCAACAGTTTCATTAGTCTTTTCCAATTACTGATAATAACTGATATTTAGCTTTATAGATCCTCTCTACTGTATATTGGTCTTTTCTTTAATTTGATCTTATTTCATTAACGATAATAATTAGCATTAGTTTGTATTGTGCATTTGTTTTTTATTTTTTCTTCCATTCTACTTTCTTTGAATTTTGTGCTCTTGTCATAATATTTGAGATGGTGTTGACCTGGCTGGTGTAGCTCAGTGGACTGAGCGCGGGCCTGTGAAGCAAAGGATCACGATTGGATTCCTAGTCAGGGCGCATGCTTGGGTTGCTGGCCAGTTCCCAGTGCGGGACACAGGAGAGGCAACCACACATGGATATTTCTCTCCCTCTCTCCTTCCCTTCCCCTCTCTCTGAAAATAAATAAATAAAATATTTTTAAAAATATTTGAGATGGTGTTTAGCTTACTGTTTTTTCCCCCTTTTGTGTTTCCCTCATTTGCCTTTAAGGCTTTCTCTTTCCTTTGTAGGGGTGTTGTTGCTTATGGGAGGTAATAAACGTAGCATGCCAAGACTGTGTCAGGAACACCGGAACTGCTCAGGAGGTTA